TGTGTGTGAGACAGAGAGAGAGTGAGTGAGCTGGAGAGACAGTGATCGAGACAAATGAAATGAACGAAAGGAGACAAGGAGCGAACAAACAGAGAGAGAAAACAGGAAATACATTAACACACACAAGCATGCACTCCCAACACCACACATACATGAAGAAAAACAAAATGGCACACACACACAGTCCGCTGTCTCCTCGCTCTGTGCCGCTGCCCTACTGAGCCATTCATGACAGGCACTGTATGGGTTGGCAACTGTGTGTGTGTGTGTGTGTGTGTTTGTGTGTGTGTGTGTCTCAAACATGCAGGGAAATGGCAAAACAAAGACAACAGCACAAAGAGGGAAAGAAATGTTCACTGTGATACTTCCAGGTCTCTGCAGGGTTCATCAAGGAACATTTGAAACTTTTTGTGACCTTTGAATACCACGCAGGATGCACTTTAATACCTTATATATATATATCTTAATGGTTGAACCAGCCAAAGTAAGTAAACAAGTATAGAAAACAAAAATAAAAATAGAAATAAAAAGACAAGAGCCAAAAGTCAAAATATATATAATATAGTACATTAGAATGTAGAATTAGATATAAGATATTATGGTATATGGTGAAATTTAGTAAAGAAAAGCTGGTTTCCTTTCAATTAATAAAGCAAGCAATAAAAATCTCTTAATATTAAAAAATGAGGTCAATGAGAGGTCTCTTCATGCCCACAGACCGAAGAAACAAAGGTCGGCTGTGTTTAAATCCTGCTCCATTTTTTTCACAGCTTTTATTGTTGATGGTATAGCCATGTTTTTATACTTGACCGTCTATATGTTCAACTATTGCCTGCCCAGATACTGCGGGTGAAAATTTGCGAACTGGCCAACAGAAAGAGAAAGAAGGGTTTATTGCCAAGTAGGTTGGTGCATTTAACAAATTAAACTAAGTTCCATACAGTCTGAAGCATCAATAATGTTGCTATGGTTATCTACAGTTCTATATACCTTGACCTGTAATAACAATGGTTACAGCTGTCAATCAGAACTACTATTTTGGCAAATCAAAAGTCAGTATGAAGAAAAATAAACACATCAAGAGTCTAGGGATGTCCCGATCAGATCTCAAAGATCAGTATTGGGGCTGACTGAGGCATACTTTAACTCATTGCTATCGGCTATACTGAGCCATATTGAACCCGATACGATCCTTTGTTTTACATCAGCTATCACACTGATGTTTTTACTCGCTAACCCTAACCCTTTCATGCACAGCAACGAGTTGTAAACTCTCCGCTGTCTGTCTGTCCTTCACTCTCCCGCTGCAGAGTTTCACCACGGGTGAAGCAGCCGCTTGAGGACAGAGAGACAGCGAAACCGATGACCACCACACGCGCCACGCCAGTGCAACAGAAGCCAGCGAGCAACAAGCCAATACGAGTAATTTATTAGTTAATCCACGCAAAATGTACAGAACAGTTCATTCAGGTAACTACCGAAGCCCAGATGCTTCTGAAACTCCTCTGAGACATCAACAAGGCCAAATGATTACACAGGGTTTGTTATTTTATACTTTGTTATTTTGTTAAATAATTTAAGAAAACACAGCTTCAATGCAGGCCATTTTGTTTTCTTATTGCAGAGCTGTTTAACTGTCACTGGATTCATTTGAATGGCTTTAAAGCACAAGAAGTGTGCACTGTGCAACTGTATTATCCAGGAACATACAAGTGTCACGCCCGCACAAGAAAGTGTTAGCAGGCAGTGTGCTAACTGCTTGACCCACATTTGTGTGTGTGTGTTGTTATTCTGGAAATGTACCCCTCCCTACCCTAAGAGCTGACCGCAAGACAACCCCACACAGGGCGCCTGGAGGTGTGTGTGTACGTGTGTGTGTGTCACAATGACAGACACAGCCAGGCAGTGACATTCCCACAGCCACACACGCGCACACGCGCACACACACACACAGACAAACACTCCTCCCCTTTAAGAGTAAGTCCATGACCACCCCTCTAAAGCATTACTGTGTTCTCAGATGCTGAGAGACAAAGTTGTCAACAGATTTTATCAGTCACACACACATGAGATATTGAAAGTCATTTGGTCTTGAAATGTGCAGTTTCTCGTGTGTGTTACCAAGGAAGATCTTTATGTCCTAACAGCTTCAAATCTGGCATCTTTAGACTGTGGAAGTGCGTTTACATGTTCTTTTTTAACATCTTAAAGGGTTCAAAGCTGGGAACAACCAACACTGGAAATTATGGAAAGATTTCTTTTTTTCTTTGTTTTTTTACTTAATTTAACTAGGGCTGCAACAGCATAGGATTTTTACAGTATGGATAACCCATCTCTGAAAAATATCACAGTTTCACAATATTACAAAATTATATAAATCAGTACAAGATTTTTTTTGGTTGAAACAAATGTCTATACTTTCACAAAATATTATGTCCTTACAGACATGAAACTTGATATAAACCTGAAACCTATATTTTTTTAAATAACATTAATACGGTAGAATTCAATAGCATAGATAAGCAAGTGTAAACAGTATGATAACAACCCAAATACACCATATCATATATTATAGCACTGTATTACCTCTTTTTACATTTTATTTATTTTTACTAATATATCTGATGATGATAATCTGGGTATAATAAATGAAAACTTTTGTAGTGAAACAAAATGTGTGCAGATGTGGCTCTAATATCCTGGGGTCCAATTATTGCATTTTTTAAATTGTCTGATGGCAATCATGGAGACCGGAGAAAAACATGCACCCTGAGAGGATAATTAATAATGATGACAAAGACACAGACAAAAGACAGAAACAATTGGAAGTATTTTGTGTATTGCTTTGGAAATATTGATTGTGTTGTTGCGTTGAGTCACGCAAAGAAAGTAATTGAAATTTTAATCGAGAGAGACAGAGTGAAAGAGACACAGAAAGAGATGCAGACAAAGATGCGTGTGAGACATGGGATCTTAATCTGGCTCCAAGTGCTTATTTGTTTAATTCTGATGAGTTCATTCCTCATATTTAGTCCTTTATTGTCTCCTTTTAAAGTTGAAATCACTGATTCAAGTGTGTTTGAACTTCCTACGGGTGTTTGCGTTCGGGAGACATACACACCTCTCCTTCAGGATGAACAAGGCTCCCAGCTGGACGAGAACAGTGGAGGCAAAAACTGCCAAAACCTCCAGTCTTTCAAACCTGGAGAGACAGAGAGAGGCAGAGAAAATGAGACACTGTCATCCATACTGGGACAAAGCGTCCACAACAACACTCTGAGGTTGCTTTTCATCCCTGACCAATCCACTTATTCCAAAACCAACAATGCTCTTTAAGCCATATTTCCTCTACATGGTGCGGCTCCACTCAATTTTGGTACTTCGTCTTCCACAGTAGATAGTACCCTCTCAACGTAGGCGAAGCTGACGCAGTTGGGAAACAACCAGGCCTCAGGATATATTCTTATTTGTTGAAATCTTAATGCTCATGCGCAGGAACATAGCCTGATATAACCTTTCAGTGAGAGAGAAATACACAACTGACCAACTTCTGACCACTAACTTGCCTTACAGACATGATTATGACGGTTTGGTCAACAAGAAGAAAAAACAGCTGAAGCTCTGTGGAAGCCCAGCTCTGCATCTCATCAAAGGGACGGCTACAGAGGTCTAAACAATGTTAGATACATTGATTCATATGCATTAAGCATTCTCAGATGATTTCATCTGAAGATGCAAAGCAGGAAAAACACTCAAAGATGTACAATAACTCCAAAGTAGGAATGCACGATTATTATTCAGCCAATTCCATAACCAATACCTGCTTCTCATGGCCAATACTGACAACCAACAATTTCTCATTTTTATATTTTAAAAAGAAGATCATAACCTGTAGTTTATGTACACCTGACAGTAAGAAAGGCTCAAATGTAATAAGCCAAGATGGATGATTTAATATTCCATAGCTCTGTTGGAACCAAACTAACTAAACAAAGACACCACTGTAGTTAACATAACAGAAAAAAACTGTTCTGATGATGATTGATCTTACATCAAAAAATTCACAATAAATTATTATCATCAAACGATTATTCATCTGCAATAATTTACTAATATAAATTTGTCAGCATCATCCAATAATATATCAGCCCTGATATTTATCTTACCTACTTCAAATGGTTTATGTCACGTTGTTCTACCACATTCACATTTATATTAAAGATGAGATAAGACATACTTTACTGATCACACAGCGGGGAAATTCACTTTTTTTTTAAAGATACAACATAACACAAAATACTGATAGATAAGTATATAATACATTTTATACATAAACTAAAAATAAAATAGAAAAACACAAGATGTAATAGGAAAGGAAAATAAGAGCTATTATTACCTTGACTTAAGATTAGGAGTATAAGAAAATACTGAGAGAAACAGCATCAAACTCGGTTCAATGTGCCTTGTCACTGGGAAGATAGTATCAGGGGATTGTTGCAACATGGAGCTCTGTCGTAACACAGGGAGTCACTTACCGGTGCACAGTTGCATATGCTGACTGTACTAGCTGCTGCCACTAGATAGTTAGCTGTCCTATTTGCTGACTGTACCTGGGACTGGGAGCCCAGAGGACGGGGTGTTTAAATACTACTAGCGTAGGAGAGAGGGGATCCAGGGGGGGAAACTGCCAAAGAGCACAACTGAAATGGGCTCAGCCTCAATGGAGGCCATCAAATCTATATTAACCACTAATTAATGTTCAGTTAGAATGTACAAAAAGGATGTGTTGAGACAAGCGTGTTGTTTTAGCCCCTAATTCTTCAGTATTTATAGAAATACGTGCGTTCATTAATTAGAGCAGTCCACATTATCTATGTTTAAATGTGAAACGTGTGACAGACAACACTAACAAAATGTCAAAGTTGGATCCATACATGAATGTAACTGTAGCTTAACTTTTGACCTTATGACAAGGTCAGAGGTCGATCCTGTCGCAGTCTGTTCAGGATGAGCAGCTTTGTCTCAGTGAGTGGTCCGTTGGGCTTATGGGGGTTAAACCTGGCGCTGACTGTCAGCGATCTGATGATCTGTCGCTCTACAGCAGCATGAGACCACTAAACTAAGAGCCTCTGACAGAGCTAAGTGAAGTACATTACGGATTAGCGCAGGAGAGACGTGACCACATACGTGTAGAGGGTGAACAGGGTGACGTGAAGACACATTAATACTGAGAAAAATGGAGATAAAGCAACAGACATCAAAACTGCAAGGGTGCAATTTAAGCACAGTATTGGTTTTTTTTGTTTCAGTTAATGGCTAATGACTATATTTTGTGTGTTAAGGAAAAGTCCTTCTGAATTGTTTCTGTTAGAGGTGCAAACAAAAAATCTGCTGTGGAAACTGTCAAGACAT